CCACTGGTGTCCCGGCTGCAGCCACCGCTGCCGCCGCCATCTTCCGCTCCACTAGCGTGTTCCGGGCCGCGCCGGGAGCACCGCCCCCTCTATGACCCCGCCCACAGCCCCGCCCATTATTCGCGGCTTTGCCCAAGCCCCGCCCCTCGGGCTCGGTGCCCTTCGCAATCACCCAGGTCGAGAGTGCGCAGAGGGTGTGGACGCAATGTCTCCTGGGAGTTGTAGTCGCTTTTTACTTCACTGCCTAGCATCCAGGACTTCGAGGATTTCCCCTAGACGCGGGACCTCAATTATTGAGAATTAAGGTGGACTGTTTGACAGTTTCCTCCCCTGTCTTAACCATATCTTTTAAAGGCTATTGTTTTAAATAACGCCACCATTCCTTTAAAGAAAAATCTGAAAGAAGCTAGGATCAGGTCATGAATATTATTCTGTAGTATATATATTAAAGAAATTGAAGTACACAAATCTAGTGACACCTTCAGAATTTATATACTGGAAGCACTATGGCTGGCAATCTGGAAAGAAGAGCCGTTTTGTATAGTATTTAGGAAAATTCGAGAAAATGTTGTATGTCCCTATTAGAATGGAAGAGGGGGCGTGAGTGTGGGCAAGTAGTGACAGAGATACAGACACGGCCACTGCAGATGTTATAGAGAAGTGTTTCAGACTTTGTAGATGGTTCTGCCAAATTGAGAATAAATAATTCCAGGCCCCAAATTTCGTTGCCCCAAATCTTAATTTTCTTGTGGATCCACCTGCAGGTCTCCCAACCTCTGGCTTGGGTGCCGGGAGAGGTCACGCAGTACCAAAGACTTGAGAGGGTATGGACGCCTTTTCCTTTCTCCTTCACAGCACCACCTCTTCTTGTCCAAAGGACAGTCCTTGGCAAGAAAGGCAGCTCCCCTACTTATTCTTTTGTTAGTTCTTAGCCCACCACTGACATCACAGTATCCTTTTCCAGATCTTTACTATTATTTAAGCAATCTTCTTCTGAAATTATTTAGGTTGAATAATAACTAAATTTAATGAGGAGTCTGTAATCTAATGAGATTTGCTCACCAAATAACAGGTTCGTATGTGTGTATGAATGTACATTCAGATTATATACCATGCCTAGGGGTGCTGTACATAATCTAGCTTTTGCACTTCATTTGGTGTCATGGGACGACCCCTTCACTGAAGGCTCCAGCCATGCTCACAGCTACCTTGGCCTTAGCTCTTGTTCTTCCTTCTACCCACTAGAATGTAACTCCATTATCTGGACATTTGGGCACACAGTGAGTGAGTGAATGAATGAATGAATGAATGAATATTTCACTAGATCCTAAGCTTTCCAAGGGCAAGGATCATTTGCCATTGTATTATTAGATCTAATGCAATCCCTGGCATGCAGTAGGGTATTTCGTAAATGTTTGTTGAATAAAAGAATAATTGAATAGGAACCTTAAATAATATAAAAAGTAATGTTTTTTGAATAAAGGAATGATTGAATCAATGGGGTTCACAAATAAAAGAAAATTGAGATTTGATGCAAGTGATCCAATTTGGAATGATTTTTAGTTTTATTGAAACATAAATATAGTCTGGCTGGTGTGGTTCACAGTTTGATTCCCTGTTAGGGCACATGCCCCACTTGTGGGCTCCATCCCCAGTAGGGTGTGTGCAGGAGGCAACCAATTGATGATTCTTTCATCATTGATATTTCTATCTCTCCCTCTCTCCTCCTGTCTCTGAAATCAATAAAAAACATCTTTTAT